TATTAGTTACAGCAGAGAAAGCATTAATCAGATAAGGGGATTTCTGAGAACTTCAAGTAAACTAAATCAAAAAGGGAGAATTTAACGAGTGTGTAAGTGGCCCTTGATTTCTTTTATCTAAAAGTACACTGGCTGCCCTGGCTGGTGTGGCTCAGTGGGTTGAGCGATAGCCAGTGAACTAGGTGGTAACTGGTTCGATTCCTGGTCAGGGCACATGCCTGAGTTGTTGGCCAGGCCCCTGGTTGCGGGGGTGTGAGAGGCAACCCATCCATGTTTCTCTCCCTCTCCTTCTCCATCCCTTCCCTCCTCTCTAAAAAAAGAAATAAAATCTTAAAAACAAATAAATACAAGTACACTGCTGAGCAGACTAAGACTTTTAAAATAGATGGAATTTTGGTTTGTCGGTTATAGTTTTTTTATATTTTTACCTTCTAAGCACATCTCAGAATTCTTTATCTTTTTTCACATTCAAGATCTGTATTTTTTAAATATTTTATTTATTTATCTTTACAGAGGGGAAGGGAGGGAGAGAAGGAAACATCAATGTGTGCTTGCCTCTCGCATGCCTCCTACAGGGGACCTGGCCTGCAACCCGGGCACGCGTCCTGACTGGGTATTGAACCAGTGACCCTTTGGTTCTCAGAACGGCAGCCAGTCCACTGAGCCACACCAGGCAGGGCAAGATCTGTATTTTTAAGGGTGGTTATATATTGTACCTTTTGTTTCTTTTGGTCATTCTCTCTGTAACTATGCACTGTAGTTTAGTTACTAATTTCCAAACAATGTAATGGCATATGTTGAGACATGGTTTGACAAAGGGACAGAACATTAGGAATTTAGACCCTCCTAAAAAGTCTAGGATATATAAGTTCCTCACCAAAGCATTAGTCTTGTTAGAAGTACTAGTAATGGTCATTGTGACTATTAAGAGTGTTAGATGTTTTATGTACCATCAGCTACTTCTCTCCTATCACAAATGAGCCTTCAGTAGACAACTTACGAACCTGGCCTGTGTAGGAGTCCCATTGTTCGATGTTCTCTCTCTTCCTTAGCTCTGACTTCTCTTTACCGAGGCAGTAGAATCAAGGCACAAAAATAGAAGAACAAGATAACTTTTATTTTTCTGTAATATTATAATGGGATTTGAATAACTGTCTGACACTTGAAATTTGAACATGACTCCAGGCTATTCTAAGTAAAATAGAGTTTGGGATTTTTTGTTAATAAAATTAATTTGCATTTATTTGTATGTATGATTTTTTCACATATAAATTATCTATGTAAAATATATGTACATATGAAGTATTAACATTTTTTTAAACCACAAAGACAGTATTTTCTAATTAACTAGTTTTCTAGTTAAAATGAGGGGGGGAAATCTCATTTACCCATTTACACTAATGTTTAGAAAACTACATGATGACCATTTTCAGAAGCAGTCTCCTAAAATACCAAATTAGAAAACTGAAATACAGCACAGTCCTTCTAAAATGGGGCTGTCTGTGACTCGGGAACCGCCCCTTCCCCAGTCATTTAAACTAGCTAAGTAGTTAAATAGTCTGCTACTAGAGAGTTAGATAGTTGTTATCAATTTATAATATCAACATTTATTTGAATGCCTAGAGACTGCTCATACTTTACATGTATCATTTCACTTGTCATAGAAACTATGGATGAAAGTAGGAATACCTTTATGTGAAAGAGAACTAAGATTAGAAGAGGAAAAACATGTTTTGCCCAGGGTCATGTGGCAAGAGTGTGATGGCACCTGGACTTGAACCTCAGAGCCTTGCTTTTTAACCACTATTGCTAAGTCAAAGACTGAAATCTTTCTCTTTATTGCTTAACTATACCTGGACCAAAGGAACTGCTAACTCAGATAGTTCTTGTCTGGAAGAGAAGCATTGCACCAGCTGTGGTAAAAACAGCAACAAAACCAAAAACGAAAGTACCAGAGTAGACTGGAAAACTTGGAGGAAGGAGACCTGAGTCTGCACTTGGCTCAGTTACTTAGCTCGTATCACTTTCTCAGTAAGGCCTTTCCCTCCCGTGTCCTCAGCTTGTTTATCGCTGTCACAACACTGAACTCATTGCTATAATTACCGTATTGCAGGGAGTCTAACGTGGACATCACTTTTATTTTATTTTACTTTTTTCAGGGATTATTGTTGTTTTCTACTTTATTTTATTTTTGTAAGGTTTATTTTTATTGTATTTTTCCCCATTACCATTAATCTCCTTACACCCTCTTTCTCCTCCACTGACCTCTCTCCCCCTGCCAGTCACCACACTGTTGTCCATGCTCATGAGTTCCTTTTCCTTTTTGCTCAGTCAACTAAGCACCACCCTCCCAATAGCTGTTTACCCTGCTCACTGTGAGTCTGACTCTATTTTGATTGTTAGTTCACTTTGTTCATTAGATTCCATCCATATGTGAGTAGAATCATGCGGCATTTGTTTTTCTCTGACTGGCTTATTTCACTTAGCATAATGTGGATGCATCTTATAATTGATGGTGTCTTCTAAAATTAATTGGCAGCATTCCTCCTTAATTATTGGTACATAAAATAAGGATGTGACTTACAGTGGGTGGCATCTTGGGTTTGACGTAGTGTATGTTTACATGTGCTCCCATGAAATGTTTCCATCGTTCCCACAGTTTTAAATACCAGGTGTATACACTGATTTTCCGATTTCTAGTCCAGTCCTCTTTTAAGCTGCAGCCCTGTATATTCAACTAAATTTTCCCTTGCTATCACAGGGATCACGGATTTTATACGCCTGCTTTCCAAATCAACTTGTCTTCTAGTGCTCCCTCATCTCAGTAAATGACATCTACATTTGTACATTTTCGAAGCTAAAAAGTTTGGCTGTTAGGGTTTGAATTTCAGTTCCATGCTTAATATACTAGGATTGTGAGCACACGGTGAAGCGTGTCATCTGTGTTCTTCATCTGTAACATGGGGGGCATAATCACACCTACCTCTGAGGATTGTTAGAGTAGTAAAACATCAAGTAAGTGTTAGGTGCCACTAACACGTGTACACATCCGTGACCTCTCCTTACTCTGCACTTGTAATTATCATCACGTCCTGTGATAGGCAGACTTTTCATGATAACTCCGGTACACCCACTCTTATTGTCACTTCTCTAGTTCAGGTCCCTGCCCCCCCCTTTTTTTGTCTGTAGTAATTAGTCTTGTAGTTGCTCCTCTTTCCCATCTCGAATGCCTTTAGTACTTAGACCAGGAGAGCCATCTTTTTAAAGTCAGATCATGGCACTTGTTAAAACCCTTCCCAGTGCACTGGTAGAAAGCCCCAGATTCCTACATGGGCACGTCATTCTCAGTTTTCTGCACGGCCGCTGTCTGCTTTTTCAACCACATTTCCTGCCACCCTGACATGCTCTGTCACTCACCACTCCCAAGACTCACTTGCACTCACTTCCATTTTAGCTTAAATCCCTCTTCCTCAAGACATTCCCTGACCCTCCAAACTAAAATAGTTCTTCAGTCCTAATACAGAGGTGATCGGTTTCTTCCCAACTGAAGATCTTTGCTGTGAGGCGGTCTTATGCATTGGAAGATGTTTAGCAGCACCCCTGGCCTCCACCCACGAGAAGCCAATATGCAGTATGCAGGAGATAGCCAGCACACTCATAATATCCAAATCAGTAAAGTTATTGGTAGAAATGAAAAATGTGTCTTTTATTTTATTGAAAAAAACATATAGACCTTTTGGCCAACCCAATAATTTCTCAAGGTCATAGAGCTAGTTATGGTAAAACTAGAACCCTGACCCAGGTCTGGCTAACTCTAAAGCTGTGTCATTTGTATGATCCTTTCCTCACTTTCTTGAGAGCAGAAACGAGTGTACGAATCAATGTTCTAGGCTTCCAAATATTGCCTGACTGTTCTCCTTTCTTTTCATTTAACCTTTGGGTTGTTCCTTAAATAACCATCTCGCTGTGAGCCATCATTCTACCCAATTAGATTATAAACCTGTTGAAGTAACACCTATTCCTTATATATTATATACCTGGTTCTTATATCAATTACCTTGTCTACAGTAGATACTCATTAATTATTTTTGTCTTAGGGATGTGAAAGATAAACAATATTTTAACCCATTTAATTTTTTCAGGGTTTGGAGCTATCTCATGAAGGAATTTAATGCTTTATTCCCTACTCTTCTTCCAATCAGTGACAGGGACAGAGTACATTTTGTTTTCTTTCTATGGTAATGCAGTGTTTTATTATTCTGTCCATTTAAAGCTCATATTTGAGAACATTCACCATATTAATGGAACTTAATCCAAGACAAGTTAAGCTTACAATTTTCAAAATATTTCAGTGCTGAATAATAATAGGAGTGATAATTATGTCAGGATTGTGTCAAAAATTATAATGTTTGATGTTAGTCTACATATAATTAATTTTGTGATGTAAAATTCTTTGCCTATGAGGAAGAACATTTGGTTTACTTCACTAACAGGAACATCTCAATGCTGGGGTGGCTGTCTCTTCGTATTTCTTCTGCTGGTGATATTTAGCATGGTTGTCTGCGATTCTCGGATGGAGTCCAGTGGGGAGGTACTCATCATGTTTGCTCCAAATAGGACCACGTGCCCGATTGCTACAGTAACGAGTCGGTACAGCGGCAGTGCAGCTGCCCGATACTTTTGAGGCCAAAGGTTAAGCCTAAAGCGTTTATTCAAGGTTCAGGAATATAAGCCCACATGAACTATATCATAAAGCCAAATTGGGAGCTTAAGAAAAGAACAGAGCCCTAAATTGTTCAGTGGCAACCAGGCGCCCAGTGGGTGCGAGGAAAAACTGGCCGGACATGGCGCGCAGACCACATTTTGTTTTTGCGTTTTGAACTGAACTGCCTAAAATGGTTTCAAAGGGAAATTGATAGTTTGTGTCTTCGTGGATTATTGTGCTTGTTTCCTTGGAAAAAAGAGTTAACCTTAGGTTTTTTTTTTCTTTTTTGCTTTAGGAATTAAGTGATCTTCAACGCGACCCACCTGCTCACTGTTCAGCTGGCCCCGTGGGAGATGACTGTAAGCTTTGCTTTATTACTAGCATTTTGCTACCATAAATAGTATAGGTTTGAACATTTGTTAATGACTCCAAACTCCTTTGTTTGTTTCAGTGTTCCACTGGCAAGCAACTATTATGGGGCCTGTAAGTATGATTCATATATATGAAATTAACCCGCTCAGCCATACTTCATTTTCACCATTTCACCTTTGATCCAGTGTTTGTGGCTAAGGTTGAATTTTCTTGTATCTGAGTCACTTAGAGGAAGCAAAATGTGATTAAAGGGTTTGTGATAATTTTCTACACCACTGACGGCAAATATTCGCCAGGGTCATTGTGATGTGTTTTCCTTCGCCAAGTCCTCCATCGTTGCTCCTAGGGATGGATCACCTACGACTTGCAGCCAGACTATGTGTTTTATTAAACACAAAAGCCATTTGTTCAGAACTAAGCACCATTGTTCTCACATCAAGAGAACATTTTAGTAGGTCAGAAATAAGTCTCAATAACCCAATAATGGAATTCCTGCAAGTAACAAGTATCAGTTTGCAGTAAGTTTCATCTCTTCTGTTTGTGAGAGAGAGCTGATAAAAGATTTCAGTGGGTCTTTCTCTGCTACCTCTTGGGCTTGCTGCTTTTAGTTTTATTGGACTGTCCGGAAGTCAAAATTACCTGCTGTGAGTGGCTTCTCTCAGCACTTACTCCTTTAAGATGATTTTTTTCTACACCCAAGAGGCAGTTATCACTAGAATGCGGCTTTCCTTCCTAGGAGCAAAAATCGGATTGTATAAGATGAGCACGGCAGCTCACATTCTGCCTTCTGGGAAACAGTGACATGTTTCCATGAACATCACGCTGTCCCCCTCCCGGAAGAGCTTTATCTAGTAAGCCACAGAGTTCTTAATCATATTGCCTTGTGTTTCACTTATAAAACAAAACAGTTACTGAATTTTCAGAGCAGGAGTCCTGGGCAAGTATCTCAATTACTAAATTGTTAAGTTAACCTTGTAAAGTGTAAAATGCAACATTTTTTTAAATAGCAATGTTTAATAAGAATCTAGATATTTGTTTCTCATTCTTATTTACTAAGAACTTTCAAAATACTGTCATTTAAAGGCCCATCCTTACCACTTGAATTATATCCCTTCAAAAATAATTTTTAGGTAATTACATGTAGCAAATGGTTACGATTATGTTACTCATACCACTTCTATTTTAATAATGTAAATATGTCACTCTGTGATATCATTTGAAGATCTAAACAGACCATGACTGTCGATTGTAATTTACTTGTTTTCTACATTCCTTATAACTTTTGATGAACTAGAATTAAGTAATGCATATAGCAAGAAAAAATATGCAGTGCAGTCTCCTATTATATATGCAGAAAATTAAAAGAAAGTAATGACAGTCTTGCTATTAAAACCAAAATGTTAATATAACATTGTGAATTTAATGAAATACAAAGGAATTAAAATATAATTTTAGGTAATTTTGCTACCTAAAAGGTAATTTTAAAAATTAATTTTTTCTTCCTTGCTCATGACATTCTATTTTCTGGTTGCCATGAAGACACCTGGCCACATTCAAATTCCTCTTGTCGATTCCTAATTTGACAATTCTATGAATATTTATTAGTTTTGTTTGGGGCATTTTTGCATTTCTCACATTATTTTATAAACTGTTACTAAGTGAAGACTTGAGGTCTAAAGCACATAGTGTGTCCCTTTTCATAACGTGTTCTCTTTAGTTCCTCTCCATTCTTGCCCCTTTAAAGGGCCATCAGAACGTAAGGCTCATAAATAAGATGGTAAACACCAGCCTTTTTTTATCCTGAGTCCTGCTGCAGAGAGTTACTCTTTCTCACAGCAGGCGTGTGTGTTGTGTACTGATGCTTCACAGTCGGACTCGTCAACAGATTTGTTTGGGCAAGTCACACCACTGCGCGTTTCCTCTTTTTTTTTTTCCTGTTTTAAATTCTGTGATGTCAACGTGATTTGAACTTATGACAAAATGATGGCATGTTTTTCCAACTGATATGTTTTTGGGGGAAAGGGGGGTCGATTTAGGTTGCCAAATAAAGGTAGCAGTCAAACACTGATGCACATGTTTTGTGATTTCAGCCCGATAGCGCGTATCAAGGTGGAGTGTTCTTTCTCACTGTACACTTTCCGACAGACTACCCTTTTAAACCACCAAAGGTATTTTTATTTTTATGATTAATGTGACTCCTGTGTCAGGGATCTATCCAGAGATATTTTTAGGATGTCCAAGGCAGGTTAGAGTGTTCAACTGTGTTGTAAAACTATCAAGCCTAAAATATGTTTTCTTAATTAAATATTGTATTATATTTGTAAAACAAAAGGCAGTATCTGTTATGCTATAAACTAGGTTCATTACTTTCATTAGATTTCTGTAGTTTGGGTTTTATGGTCAAGAACATGACTTTTCCATTTAGGGGATTATCTCTCCAAAGGTGATTCTTTTTTTTCAGTATTGTATTCAACAAGCATTTATTGAATACCTACCATGTTCTGTTACATTGGGGAATACAAAAGAAAATATGACACAGTACCTTCATTAGTGTGGTAAGAGATATAAAACCATGTTCTTACTCAGCTTACTTTAGATTAGATCTAAAGAGGAAACAAATGATGGGAGTATCAGAAGGGAGAAAATCATGAACAAGTTCGGTCATCGAGGAAATATTTATTTATTCATTTATTTATTCCAAATGATAAGAGACAGTTTATTTAGAAAGTTCTGGAGGAAGTAGAAGTGAACCAGCTGGGCTGAGTAGGCTCAGGAAACAAGCCACAGAAGCAGAAGGGCCCTCGGAGCCCGAGACAGGGAGAGGCAGAGGTGGCCTGGGGCGCGGGGAGGCAGAGGTGTGGACATGCCCCCAAGAGGGACAGTGCACAGGAAATAATTACTTTAGGTTTTAAAGAGCACCTTAATAACATTATGTATGAACAATATCACCACAACTATTGTGGACAATTAGGATTCCTTTTGGATTTCTTAGGACAGGTCACAAGCTGAGGGCCCTCAGCTTTCCCCTAAGACAGGGTCAGCCCCTATTTTTAGAGCCTAGTATCACTACCTCAAGTCACTGATGATCAAATTAATAAAGGGATTACTTTGAAGGATCATCAAAGCCGTGGTTAATTACTTCGGGTGCCACTCAGCCAGTCATACCAGCTATTACAGACTTACTGATTTCACTCTCTAGAAATATCTCTCAGTTTCTTGCTGGGGCAGGCGGGAGGTAGGGAGTGGCAAAACGAACTATTTGCTTTCCCATTCCCGGTAGCTAAAGCTATGTGTGCACAAAGTAGGTGCTCAATTTGCCTCGAATACTTTTCTCTACTAGGGTCATGTAAAATTGAAGACATTTCACCCTAAAGTAGATTGGTTCTGCTTTGTTCATCATTCGTGGATTGTCATGTTTTTATTTTGTTTTGTTTTTAGATTGCTTTCACAACAAAAATTTACCATCCAAACATAAACAGTAATGGAAGTATTTGCCTTGATATCCTGAGGTCACAATGGTCACCAGCTCTGACTGTATCAAAAGGTAATTTCACTTATGAGATATATCATAGCTGGTAATAGTGAGACAGGAAAAATACAGCAAAAGTCTGTTAAAGTCTAGAGTTTTAAAAAACCAGTCTACTGTGTGTTTTCCTCCTTTGATTTGTTTTGCTTTCATCACTCTGACAAGTATTCTGGAGCTTTTAGTAGTTGACTTGGTTGCGGGGTGTTGGTGGGCAAATCTAAATGCTGAAATAAGAGTTAGAGCTAGAAATTTGGGGATAAGCCTCTTGACATTTTATCCTTTAGTTTTGGCTTTATATTTAAAAGAGGGAGAATATGAGACAAGTAAATGCAGTCATACTCCGGTGCTCATCAGCTTCAGAACTCGTCAAACCCTGTACTCGTCACATTTTGATGACAAAAAATGTTTCAGCACTCGGCGCTCGCTGGGGACTTGTCGCACTTAGTATGAATCACAACGCCACCTCGCAAGAGGAAAAGCTTTATCACTTGTCACTTGCCTAGTACTCATCAGTTTTGGCACTTGTCACAAACAGTTCTGGAATGAATTAATGATGAGTACCAAGGTGCCACTGTGTATGATTTTTAAGGCCAGTTGCCCCATTTATTAAATGGAATTATTAACATAATGATTAAAGCTTTACATCTGTTTTACTTCATTTAAGAAGAAATATATCAGATTAGGCTGATAAAATAAATGATTTAAAATGATAGACATACTTCACTTTATATGTGAAATAGACTTTAGAATAATATAGTACATATAACATACTACTCTAAACCAGCAGTTTTCAACCCTTTTCATCTTATGGCACACATAAACTAATTGCTAAATTCTGTGGCATACCAAAAAATATATATTTTTGCCAATCTAACCAAAAAAATATGTATATAAGGGGGAACACCCCCAAAATCCAGAATTATCTCCTGGAGGGCCACCCCCTTGTAATACAGGCTTCCTCCAGTAAGTGAGTGTTGTAGAAACCCTTCTATATCATTGTACCAGCTAGTGTTGTTGTGAGAGGCTGCATTTGGCTTCAGTGAATTTATTTTTTGAAGACTCTTTCAGTGTGTTTGCTCATTTCATGATGGGTGGTTTATGAGCGCATCTGCCCACGCCGTGCTGAGTGTTCAGCAGTTTTTGACCCAAGCTGCAGTGACCTTGGTGCCTACCTTCCCTATTTACCCAATCAGTTTTACCCCAAGCAACTTTTTTTGTTTCTTGATGAAAAAAATCCTCAAAGGGAAACATTTTGGAAGAGGTGAAACAAAAAATGGCAGAAGCACTAAAAAGCACAAATCAAAGAGCTCAAAATCTGTTCTGAGCAATGGAAAAAAATTCTCACTAGGTATATTGCATTGAATGGAGAGTACTTTGAAGGTGACTGAAGTTTAAACATGTAAGGATAAAGACACACTTTTTTTTTATAAATAAATTCCAGTTTTTGGGGGGGTCTGCCTTCATGATTTGATCACTCACACCAGATGGCTTTCATTGTGTTGGCTGTTGTCACTTTTTTATTTGACAGTCTAAGGGACAGGTCAGTGCTCCTGAATGAATAATGAGGTGTTGTATCCTTTAAAAATTCTTGCAGCACATCAGTGCCTCTTGCTGGTACACGGGTTGAAAAATTGCTGCTCTAAACTTTGAATAATCAGTAGTGTTGTCATAATGATTGAAACACAGTCCATGTGGATTCTTAACTTCCAGTAAACTGGAACATCGTTCTTTGATAAATGATCAGACGTGTACGTCTGAAGCCAGTGCTGTTTTCTTGGCCAGTACTGTTTGCTGTGCCAGCCCTTTTAACCCGAGTCTTGTTTCTCTACCAGAGAAGAACCCAACAGATGGAAAATACTGATTTGAGTTAGAAGCATCTGTCCCTGAAGTAACTTGGTAGTTTTTCCTTTTTATAAAATTTAAGAAAGTTGTTTCTCTTGAAGGTTTCAGGGAGAGATCCATGGACTTGTGAAAAAAAATTTTTGATAAATGCTGTGTGAACATATAACTTGTTTTTTTTTTAAGTGATGAAGTTTAAAGACTATACTTTCAGGGATCATTTCTATAGTTTATTAAAAGTGATGAGGTTTCACCCTGACTGGTGAGGCTCAGTTGTTTGGGCATCGTCCAGCAAAGCTAAAGGCCACCAGTTTGATTCCTGGCCAGGGCACATGCCTGGGTTGTGGGTTCCACCCCCATGTGGGGTGTGTGCGAGAGGCAACCAGTTGATGTTTCTCTCTCACATCAATGCTTCTTTCCCTTTCTGTCTCCCTCCCTTTTTCTTTCTCTAAAAATAAACAAAACTTTTTTTAAGCAAAGGGTATAGGAAACAGAGTCTACAGCCATAATTATTTGAAGTATTAGGTAAATAATAGCCCTTTAGATCAGTTATTTGTAAATGACAGTTTTTCTGACCTAAAATGTTTGCATAAAATATTCATGTAGATTCTAGTGTCTTCTTAAAAATCTTTCACATAGTATAATGTTAGGCACTACATGAGTTACGGATGGGGAGAGGGACCGAGCTAAGAGGCTCTCTCCCCCGCCCCGGGTCTTGTCTTGCTCACAACACACAAATTCAGGCAAGAGACGAACATGTATAGTGGAAATGAGACAGCAAGTTTATGAAATATGTACGAGCACAAAGCTGTAGGCTGGCACCCAGCTAGTGTAAATGCCCCATGTACAGAGGAAAGAAAATTGTTAGTAAGTTTGTTAGCATTTTAGTGAGTTTGTTCTATACACTTGAGCTGAGGATACAAGTGGGTACTTAGCTGCTCAAGGTACACTGACTACTGGGGATCAGAAGTTACATACCTGAGCTAGCTTCCCGGTACCCCCTCCTCCCGCCTCCCTGGTAATAATATACAACTGCAAAGGCTTTCTTTTTCAGTTAGTAAAGGCTCTTTGTCTTTGTTAGTGAAATTGTTACAGAAGCTCCCTTTCCCAACTTAGTCTCAAGGATGCCCCTTCCTCCTATGCTATTTTTGCTTGCGATACTCGGAACACCTGCAGAACTTTTCCAACCTGGCTGAGTTCACTGATGAGACATGTCTGTCTGTTGTTTCTAGTCTCTTGTGTTAAGTTCTTTGTTAGATTGAAGTGGCGAGGGCCCTGCCTTTCTTTCTTTTCTGGCCGCTCATTCCTAGCTGCTACCCAACACAGGTAGGAAAGATTCTGTGTCAAAGGGTTATTTGAATTCATCTATCTTTCCTGGAGTGGTATCACAAAATAGAATTCATTTGGCGTAAGCAGCTAAGTACTTACACGTGTAAAAGAAATGGCGGACTGCCAGATGTTGAGCTCTTACCTTTTGACATTTGGTAGCTTTTTTAAAAGAATAATTAGTATTGTTGCCTTCTGGTAACTGTCTCTTAAGAACAGATTCAAATAGCCACAGTTTCCTCATGTGTAAAATGGGGATTGTAACAGTATTGCCACACAGGGTCTCTGTGCACCTGCCCTATGGGCAGCACTCAAGTGAATGTCAACGTTCCTTTTTCCTTAGAACAGTCGAACTGTGTGTGTAACGGTGAAATCGGGCCTGCTGCCTCTGAGCATCAGCCCAGGGGAGATGAGGAAATTTGCTTCTTTCTTATTTTGTAAGATTGCTTATACTTGCTACCTAAAATAAAGGTATTTTTAAATGCCTTGTTTTTATTTTTTTGTGAGTTTAATTGGGAATGTTTCTGGAGACTTGAGCCAGATAATCGTGGTTTAATTCGCAATAGAAGATAAGGAAGAGGAATTAAGAATTAGTTTTAACATTAGTGCCCTTCATACCCCCTTTCCGTGCCATCGAAGATTCAACTTTGCTTTATAAATTTACCTGTGGATTTTTAAGAATAGGAAAAACTACAGGAACATAGTAGATGAGGCTGAAGACGGAAGGTTGTTCCTGAAACCCCACGGACCCCCTCAGAAGTGGTGGCGTGAATTAAAGCAGAGGCCTCCTTCTCTCCTTTTCACTTGGATTTTGTGTGTGTGTAGCTATTTGCATTAGTATTTTGATGTCATGTGGCAAAAAGCAATTACTTTTTAAACTTTCATCTATATTTTAAAGGATTTAAGTAATATAGTAACTATTCACATTATTTTTACATGCATGTGCTATAGATTATGTACATGGAATAAAAGAGCCATTGAAAACAATCTTACAAATCGTCCTTTGTAGACAGTCTATATTTCTAAGCTAGTGTAAAAATTACATGAACACAGTACCTAAATGTTTTGGACTATTAACTATAATTTGATTGTTTTACTTTGAATTGATTAAAACACAGATTTTCTGCATTTAAATACAGGGTCCAACACAAATAATGCCCCTATTTTATTAAAAAAATCTTTTATTACAAAATCATAAGCATGTAATTCTATAATAAAACAATATCACACTCAAGCGCATCATATGACATTTTAGGTGAAATGTTCAAATTAAAACTATAACTTACTACACCCGTATCATTACCCCGCCAACCACACTCAGGCAGGCCTTCCTTGTGCTGGACCCTGTAGAATAAAAAATGGACAGTTCTCATTAAAGTACAAAAGTATCTCTAAGAAACATCTAAAGTTAGGACGCTGTTCTAAAAGCTTTCTGATTACGTACCATTTGGGATGTGTGTATGTGTTACCAAAAATATTTTGTAGAGGATTCTTGAGCTGCAAGGTTGTAATAGCAGCTGTGGAGGTTCACATTTTTTAAAATATGTATTTTATTTAATTATTTCTAGAGAAAGGGAAAGGGAGGGTGAGAGGAAGGAAACATCATTGTGTGAGAGAAACATCAATCAGTTGCCTCTCGCATGCACCCTGACGGGACCACCCAGGCATGTACTGAGACTAGGAATTGAACCAGCAACCTTTCGTTTTGAGGGAGGACACCCAGCCAACTGAGCCACACTGGTCAGAGCGAGGTTGACAGGGTTCCCCCCCAACAAAAAAATTTATTTGTTTATTTTTAGAGAGGAGAGAAGGGAGGGGGAAAGAGAGGAAGAGAAACATCGACCTGTTGTGTCTCGCAGGCCCCCAAACAGAGCCTTGGCCTGTGGTAACCCAGGCCTGTGCCCCCGTGGGGAGTCACACTGGTGACCTTGCAGCCAGCAGGACTACACTCACCCCACTGAGCCACACCAGCCAGGGCCCCATTTATTTATTTTGAATAAATAAAAATTCAATTAGGATTTAAAACTTTAAATGTTCTAGCAATTTTGTATTAGATACATTGTATGGTAATTTTACAGTTTAAAAAATGAAAAATACTTGCTGCCAGCTGTAGTCTAAAGTGTAATATAATGTGTTCATTTTGTTTTTATAAGTTTATTGCCTATATTCAATGATTATTTTCACATGTGCGATTGTATAAACAAGAAAGGTCATTATCTAATACGATGTTCTCTTTTAAATCTAGTTTTATTGTCCATATGTTCCCTGCTTTGTGACCCCAACCCAGACGACCCCTTAGTGCCAGATATTGCACAGATCTATAAATCAGACAAAGAGAAGTGAGTGTTCTGTTTATTTCTGCTTGGGCACCTTTCTTTGTAGTCTACCAAAATAGAAGTGTTACCAGTGTATTTAATCAGTACATTTAGTTATGCTTGCTGTACTTAACATTAAGATTGTTTTTCTTTCCACTGGAGTAAACTTGACTTTTTAAATTCTGTTAGTCTTTTTACAAAAAATCTTGTTCTGTTTCTCATGCTGTTTAATTTTTACTTGTTAGTACTACATGCTTTGCATTTACCCGGTTGGTCATGTTTTTGGTAGGAAATAACTATATATAATTGTAGGGAGTAAATTTAAGTGAAAAAATTTGATAATTGGGAAGCATTGGATATTATATTCCTTAGCTTTTCCCAGGGAGAGAAGTTATCCCTAAACCCCCCAAACTGACCTAGTTTTCAAGGTCATCTTGGTATGTGACTGGTTCATTTGCAGTTTAGAAGTAATGCTCATTGCATTTTACAGATTTTTATTCAGAAAATTTTTTCATTTTATTGTTTATAATTTAGGTATGTTTTCATATAGGTTGTAGAGACCCATCAGTTAAAAAATAACTTAAATTTTGTGCTAAGTCACAATGACCGAATAACTGATATATATATGATCATTGCAATTAAGCATAGGAAGGTAGAGTATCCTTTTTTATATAGATAGATCTTCTAAAAGATTTGATTTGTATGTTTTTACCGTATTTCTTTTGTATGCCTACAGATACAACAGACACGCAAGAGAATGGACTCAGAAATATGCAATGTAAAATCAAAAAATTTTTCATATATACAAGAGTACTGTAAAATCTAGGTTTTTTTCAATATCAGCAGTAAATTGAGCACTGTTTACTGTTTCATTGTACCATGAAATCCTTTGATTTTTATCCATTTTAAATGTATTTCTGAAGCAAGACAAAACAAACTTCCAAAAATACCCTTAAGACTGTGATGAGAGCATTTATCATTTTGTATGCATTGAGAAAGACATTTATTATGGTTTTTAAGATACTTGGACATCTGCATCTTCATCTGACAAGATCTACAATGCATCTGAGAAGCAACCAAATTATTTTTTTGCTGAAACTAGATGTTTTTACATGAGAAATACTGTATGTGCTGTCTGTCGTCAGTTTTATAAATCTGTATTCAGATTTCATTTTTGTTAGCTCACTTTATAATTTGTATTTTTTTACTGTATAGACTAAATGTATTCTATTTACATGTATGTCAAGTCATTACTTTTTTCCCTGTGAACAGTATTGAAAAAGCCGAACAGCTGATAATTAAATGAATTAACTGTTTGTCTCCCTTGTCTTAGGGTATTCTGTAGATCAGTTGCAGATTTCTTAAACCTGAATGATCTTTACACTGTAATTCTCATTATACTGATTATGGAGAAACACTTGTTTTGATTTTGTTATACTTGACTTAACTTTATTGCAATGTGAATTAATTGCACTGCTAAGTAGGAAGATATGTAACTTTTATTTGTTGCTATTCACGTTTGAATTTTTTTTCTGTATAGGCCATATTACCATGACACCTTTTACAGATCTTAATGTAGCTTTTCCATATAAATAAAATGCTTTTTCTACTATTTGTCTTGATTACTTAAAAAGATTTAGAAATATAAATAAGAATCATAAGTCTATGTAAAATTTTGCATGTAAATTAGTTCCAAATTGTGAGACTAAGGTCTGTTGATTGGCTAATTATTCATCACTAATGATATCAATTTTATTGCTTTAGGTTTGTGTCTGTTTACTCATTGTCAGTCTAAAGGATGATATACACTGGTCCCTTGTTATAGAAGAAAATTTAGAATTTTGGGGGGTTTGTTTAGATCATATCTAAAATGGATTATTTACTGAAGTACTAAGATTTGTGTGTGTAAGGTAGTGTCACCTACACTGAAGACTAATTAGGTCAGTTTATTAAAATAGCAGTCTAGCTGTAGCTGACATTGTATTTCTTCACACTTTAAAATTTAGAATTTCTAAAATAGAATCTTAATGCCATCACAGTTTGAAAAAGAACATTCTTTTTTTTTTTACTATAGAAGTTATAGAGAAAATTCTAAAATGATGCTTCCTGTTTTTATATATTGCCAGTTAAAAGTAGTTTAAATAAGCAGGTTATCTTTGCAGATTTTAAAGAAAGCTTGAAAGTTCTAATGTTTAACTTTGGAAAAAATACATCTCTAATTATTAGCATGCTTACCAGAGTTGGATGCGTGTCATTTTTAAGAAGAGCCGGAGTTCTTCCGATCCTTGCAGTAGTTGTAGAAGTGTGCAAGAGTCTGTGATGGGTGTCGTCATTAGCAAGGCGTCTAGGTCACTGAAGTATTTTATCATGGTTCATTATCATGAAATTGCAGAATAACCAATTGTTAGAAAATGTGTTTTTATAAATGAATGTAAAATAATTACATGAATTGTGAAATGTTTATGAAAATATAGGTTTAAAAAGTAATTATATTAAGTGATGTCTTCAAACAGCCAAATCATGAAAAACACTACGTCACTAGCTATTATTATAAGCTACATTCTCCCAGAATCTGAGCACTCAACAACATGAGGTTTTAGTATTTAGTATATTTTGATAGTGAAGGGTTTTGGTTCATGAATATCTTTCACTTTTTTATAAACTTTCATTTGTGTGGCATTTATTTTTGGAAGTGTCCCTTTTTCTTTATTAAAGTTTTTGAAACTTACCTAACTCTTGTTTGCCTTTGCTTACATCTTAATTGTGCAGCCAGTCTCTTGAGGAGTAAGCACAAGTTTTATTTACCTCAAATCTTCAGAGCTCATTGGGGGCATAATAATCAGTCAGCTTGCCATTGGGGTATGTTTTTGCTTAATTCTAAGAAAGAGTACATCAGTTAACTTTTATAACTGTACGTCCCAAGCCAGGGGCTTTCCTCCATTGTTTAACCATTAACTTAAGGATCTCCTTTGAGTGAGGGAAATGGTTAGTCTTTTGGAGATTTAGGATCCTACCAAAGCCATGGGTACTTTAAGATGTAGTTGAAAACTGTTAAACTTGGACTCTTGTTATTGTCACGTACAATCAATCAAGAATACAGGTTCTAAGGGCAGCCTCACCCAAATGCCGCAGCTATCTCAAAAGCACAGGATTCCTGAACTAGGTTTTGCACAACCCTATGTAAGTCATATATTATTGATTTTTGCTTTATTTTTCCCATCTCCCACCCCCCACCCTTCCATGAACTCTGGTAGGAAAAATTAAGAAAATTTTTTTGTAAATCACTACTTACCTGTTTCAAGGGATCAAAAGGTATTAAGTGAGAAACACCAGCACGGCACACAAGGGCAATCAATCCTAAGTGTTACTATTTAAAAGAGTGACTTTGTGATAGAAACAATACCACGTGTAGTTTTTCATTACTCTTATTTTATTACAGTGATCTGCTTATCTTTTTTTTTTCAGATAGCTTTTATTACAGTGTAATTTTTCTATAAATTATTGTTAATCTTTTTTTTTTAAGATTTTATTTATCTTTAGAGGGAAAGGGAAGGAGAGAGGGAGAGAAACATCAATGTATGGTTGCCTTTCGTGCGTCCCCTGCTGGGAATTGGCCTGCAACCCAAGAATGTGCCCTGACCAGGAATCAAACCGCGATTGTCTGGTTCACGGGCCCATGCTCAATCCGCTGAGCTACACCAGCCAGGGCTGTGATCTGCTTATCTTTGCACACAATTTAATCATTGATGTTTCACAAGATCGTGTTCTCTCACAGTTCTGTATTTTTGTTTTGAATAATTAAAAAAAATTTTAAGTACAGTTGGCATACGATACTATATTATTTTCAGGTGTACAGCCCAATGGTTAGACATTTATATAACTTACAAAGTGATCACCCAAATAAATCTAGTACTTAACCTGAGACCATTTTAAAATGGAAACACTGGGCAAATTCTTGAGGCTATTTATATCATGTTTATTTATTGGTGGTCAGTTTGATGTGAACTCAAAGTCCAGTCCAGTGAATATTTTAAATTTTAATTTCTGCAGTAGAATCATCAGTGTTGTTACTCATTCTTATAAGGACCAGCCATGGGAAATGTTACGAATGCTTTAGCCATGGCCATATAAACAGACCTTCAGTATATTCACATTGTGGAAGTTGGTCTGTTAAGATGTAACAGTACTGCTTTTTTAAAAAGTTGATTTACAACTTTGAAGTGGTTGTTACTAAAACAACAAATATGAATTTTTAGAGTTCAGTTCTATCACTCTTTTAACTATAAACCGGGACTTTCAAAATTTTTTTCTTTAATTGAGCACGGGCTGTGAACCAAAGGGTCACCAGTTTGATTCCCAGTCAGGGCACATGCCTGGGTTACAGGCCAGGTCCCCAGTGGGGGCCATGTGAGAGGCAACCACACATTGATGTTTCTCTCCCTTTCTTTCTCCTTCCTTTCTCCTCTCTCTATAAATAAATAAATGAAACCTTAATTTTTTTTTAAAGAAGTTTAATTGTAATTTTACATCCCTAAAATGTAATACAGATTATCTGTTGAAGTTCTCATTTTTTTTTATAGTGTATCTTCTTTACCGTTACAACAACTGCATGGTACAGATAAGGTAGCAGGTAGAGATTCATCTAATTTCACTTGTGAAAAATCCTGTGCACAGTCATTTCTACCTTTTTGGGGGGTAACTGAGTGATAGCTGCAAACTTTTATTAAACTATAATTAATTGATAAGCTTTCACCAGGATTTTTTTCATAGTGGTGATAACTGAAAAGACATGGACAGCTGATGGTTTTGGTTATAGAAATAAGTTGTAATGCATCAGTTTTGTTGTCAACCTAATAGTGCTGTACCAGTCATCTGTAATATGTCACCTGGACACTTCTGCTCCAGTTGTCCTGTTACACTAAAAATGTAGTTTGAAATTAGAAATCAACTAATAGGAAGAGGGAATATTCACCTCAAAGGACTAGCATTTGGGGGATTTATGTATAATAAGGCACATTTAATTACATTTCTTTAAAATTTTATTTTAACACTCTTATTAGGTTCTGCTGTTGTATAGGGAGGTATGTGCCTTTCTTCAGGAGGAACTTGCTTTTATTAAACTGGTACAAGTTCTGAGCTGTGCTTTCCCCAGATAATTGACTGATTGTGTTAAGATCTCAGTGGGTCACTGTAGTTGTATATATATATATTTTATTGCTAACTCTCAATATATATAAATGTAAATATACATATGAGAACAGATAACACCAGTTGTGTTATTACTTCTGATACACTTGGCAGTCCCATGACCACCCATGCCTTCACTGTGTCTGTAGAATTCACAAGACTAATCACGTGGTCATACAGCTAAGGTTTATAGTCACATGGCAGAGGTATACAGCTGGATGATCAGTGACGGGAAGGGAAAGGAGGCTGAGTCTGTAGGAATCCGTGTGCAGGCTTCTGTGTTCTTTCTGGAGAGGCCACACAGAGTGCACTCTCCCGACAACAGTGACATGCAGTAGCACGGGCACAGTGTTTGTCTAGGAAAGTCTGTTTGAAATGCGAAGTGCAGGATTTTTATTGGGGGCCAAACAGGGTAGGTACCTATTGCCCTTCAAAATTCTAGTCTCCCAGAAGAAAAGCAGGTGTTCCTCATAAATCACATTATTTTAAAAGTCTAGTCAGCACAGCAGACATGAAAAATATCCCATAGTGAGTGTTGGGAAAGCCAAGCTCCTGGATGCCAGCTGAGGGCCAGCCGGCTAAGCAAGGCCTTCTGAGATGGGTCTGCACCATTTGTTGAGAAGACTAATCTTTCCCTTTGGATGGTCTTGATACCCCTGTCAAAATCAACTAACCATGGAGGTTGATTTCTGGACTCTCAATTTTCTGTTGATCTCTACGCCTTATACTAGGCCAAACTATATTGATGACTGTAGCTTTGAACTAATCTTTGAAATTGGAAAGCATGGGTCTTCCAACTGTGTTCTTCTTTTACACTTTTGTTTTAATTATTTACATCTCTTGAGAGTCCAAATGTCTTTTAGGATCAGCTTTTCCTCTTCTGCTGAGCTTTCAATCTGGGATTGTATGAAATCTATAGAGTGACTTTGATCAAGTTGGCATCTTTTGTTCTGGTTATATGTTGCTGAATCGTAAACCACCTTTCACTAAGGTGTAAAAGAACACTCATATGTTCATGGAGTCTGTTGGGTCAAGAGTTAGGAATAGGGTACAGTAAGGATGCCTTGCCCATTCCATGAAACTGAGGGCCTCTGCTGGGGGCGATTTAAATGGCTGGCAGCTGAAATCATCTGGAAGCTTCCTCATGCCAATGTTGGCACTTAGACAAGTGTCTAGTAGAGCACTTAGTCAAAGCCGGTCTGTATGGACTTGAGCTTCTCACAACATGGCAGCTCCAAGGAGCATCTGGAGAGCAAATGAGACAGATGCGTGACCTTTTAGGATCTGGCCTTTGAGGTAACACAGTGGCCCTTCCTGTGTCATTGAAGCAGTCACAAGCCTTCTCAAATTCAAGGGAAGGTGACACAGATCTCCACTTTTCCATGGAAAAGAATTTGAGACCATCACCACATTTTACTGTACTTCAGTTGTCTTTAATTTCTGATTGTTTTGTAGTTTTCTGTGTTGAGAGGTCTTGCACATTTTCACTGGATTTATTCTTAGGCATCTAATTTTTTAAACCTATTACAAAAGTTATTTTCATCTCATTTTTTAGTTGTGTGTTCTCATTATACAGAAAAACAATGTATATAATATTCACCTTATATCCTACAACCTTGCTAAATTCTCTTCAACCATTTGTAGAATTTCAAAGTTTTCTGCAGCTAATAACTATGTTACCTGCAAATTAGTGATAATATCTTCATTTTCAATCTATATACCTCATTTCTTTTTCTTCTTCCATTAGTTACGACCTCCTGTATTGTTGAATACAAATAGTGATCGCTGACATCTTGATTTGTGAGGGAAAACTTTCATTATTTTAGTATGATATGATTTCATGATTTCAGATATGATCTTTGCTTCATATTACTAAGTTCCCTTCTATTTTTAGGTTATTAAGCATTTTTATTTGTTGAGTTACATTTTGAATTTTATTGAATGCTTTTTCTACATATATTGACATTATTGTGATTTTCATCCTTTTTCCATTATTAAATGTAGTATAAATTGTATTAACTAATGTTCAAATGTTAAATTGTCCTTACATTTCTGGACAGCTCTCAATTCTATTTGCTAGTATTTTGTTGAGAATTTTTGCATCTGTATTCATGAGAGAAGTCAATAGTTTTCTTTCTTGAATATCTCTGTCACATTTTTTAAGAATTATTTTTATTTTTATTTATTCATTTTTAGAGAGAGAGAGAGAGGAAGGAAGGGAGAAAGGGAGAGAAACGTCAATGTGTGGTTGCCTTCACGTGGCCCACACTGGGGACTTGGCCTGGAACCCAGGCATGTGCCCTAACTGGGAATTGAACTGGTGACCTTTCAGTTTGCAGGCCTGTGCTCAGTCCACTGAGCCACACCAGCCAGGGCTATCTCTGTCACATTTGATAGCTCAGAGTATGCTGGCCTCATAAAAAGGTTGGGCAATATTCCCTCTTTATTCTCTTGAAGAATTTGTGTACGATTTGTTTTCCCAATTTTTTGAAAAATATCCTGAAACTATCGTGCCTAGAGTTTTTCCTTGTGGGAAGATTT